TCATTTTTAGTTTTCGGCCTCTCGGGGTCCTTGCTGGGCCTCGTGGCCAGCGAGAAATCGGCTGGGGATGTAAATTGGGTCCCAGAGAATTGGTCGAGAAGTCAGGGGTCCGTGTGTCGAACAAATCGTGACGCCGGATGTCTGGATATCCATCTGGTTCGAAGAATGCCGCATGCGCTTGGGTCGTTGGTTCTGGTCGCGATGTGTCGCGATGCTGTATTTTTTGTCGCGATGTCGGATCCCTTTGGGCTTTCCCCGAAAGAACACGAAACGTGCACCCCTGCATTCCCCGCTTTCCAGACCCCCGATTTCATGATTTGTTCATAACGTCGACCCCCAGAGGACTCGACCCATTCCCTGGGACTGGTTTGTCATCCTGAGTCGTTTCGTTAAAGTCCCGAGGCAAATCATACATGACCGCCGCCTGGAGGATCAATGTTCGGGGACTTCGGCGAAACATATATATATATATGTATATATATACATATATATACATATATGCTCGGCCCCCCCAAGAGCCAACACACATCCATATCCACAGCCCGCTGGGGCACTGCGACGTGTGTTCCCAAGCGGTGGATACGGATAAATTCCCGCCTCGCATGGTAAGGGCCCCCAAAGGCTGGACATGGCGAAACACCTTTCCGTCGTAATGCTTCTATGGCTCGAAGGGGTCTGTATTCTGGCCCCCCCGGCGGCCGGTTAGAGGGTCGCCGCCGGACCGGGCGTTTTTTCTTCGAAGGCCTGGCGGGGGCTTTGGGGCCTCCTGTTGGACGTCGGCCCCAGGGTCTCATTTCCTCCGCCCGACCCAAACCTCCGATTCCGAAAAAGCTGGAGCGCACCGTTTTTTACAATTTTCGCCCCCTGGGGGCCGTCGGCGCGCCTCAGGACGGTCAAAAACCGACTCAGGGTGAAAAGCCGGCCGGAGGGAAGTGGTCCAGACCTTCGGGGGTCCACGCGTCGAACCACTTGGAGCGCCGCCTCCGAGGCGGGGATTCATCTGGGGCCAAAAACCGAGTGGTGACGGAACGCATGGTGACCTCAGAACCCCCAGCGACCTCACCGCGCGGTCCGTCGCCGCATGGTTCTGGGACCCTGGAGGCCCCAGTCGCCAGGGACGTCCTCTGAGAACGACCCGGGTCCCAAAACCGCGCGGTGACCCCGAATCCCGACCGACTCACCACACAGTGTGCTCACTCCACTGCATGGCCCCCCCCGAATTTACGGTCGGGAATCTTGGTTGAGCGTGCCCACCACGCCTCGGCGCGACCGGCTGTCCACGTCCCGGTCCCAAGGCGTAGACGTCCCGAGCTTCTCCCGAGCCTCCCGCCCCGCGAAAAGCAGCGGAGCGCGATCCGTTGGCAGAGCATCGCGCGTCGCCAGGGCCGCCGCTGCGACACGCCGAGCAACAGTTCATGACCGTATCCGTCACCTCCTCCGCCTGAGGGATCGATCTTGGGGACCTGGGCAGCCAGAGCAGAAGGATCTATTCGGGTCCTGGGGTGGTCAACCATGTCCACGTCCGCCGCCTGCCGAGGTCCCCGAATATCGATCCTTTGGGCGATTGTACTGGATACGTCCTCGTCTCGCATTGAGACGATGTTTTTAAAAAGGTGGGGGGAGGGTGCTTTCTTCTTTGAAGATCGACGGTCATCCGTTTGTGGATCACGTTGTTTCCGTTCTGGGATTCTCGTTCACGCCGTTTTCAGTTCGGTCCTGTTTTGTATTACCGTTTTTTTCTTGTTCGGGCTGCTGCTTTCTGTTCACGTGTGCATATACATATTCACGTCTATATACGTTCATTGCTTCGGTTGACCGAGAACCGACAAGTTCTGGACGAAATAATCCCCCAGCGTTTTTTACATCAGCTAGAGTCTCGCACACCCGACGTCGCCCTGGAGCAGACCGTCGCCGAGGAGCACTCCAGGCCACCCCAATGTGGTCTGAGAGCAGATGGTGTAGGAGGATCGCGCCGCAACCTCGCCGCATCGCCGATGCGTCGGCGATGCGGCACGTTCCAGAGTCAGAGCCCGATTCTCTCCATGCTGGCGTCGCGCATGCATCGCCGATGCATTGGCGGTGCGGCGCAATCCTCCGACCTCGGTCTGCTCGGACCCTACACTGGGCGGCCTCCAAACGCCCGGGCTTTGTGATTTTGCAGTCCGCTGGCCAAGCGACAAACAAAAAACAACAACAACAAAAAGAAGCTCCTGATCCCCCTGATGACGATGACGACGACGATGACGATGACGAGGATGACGATGACGAGGATGACGATGACGACGACAATGACAATTGATGACAATGATGACGATGACGATGACGATGTCGATGAAGAGCATGGCGAAACCCCTGCCAGTTTGTTCTCCCTGGGGATCGTCATCTGTCCGCCAGCCGGGGCCCGCAGCGGGCCCCCCGGGCAGGCCGGAGAGTTGCTTTGTTGTATCTTCGGGGGGGCCTCGTCCGCCTCACAGGTCGGAGCGTTTCCCTCGTGCCCGACGCGGGTTCGGCGCGGATGCGGCGCGCACTCGGCGCGGCTTCGGCACGGATTGGACGCGGGTTCGGCGCGGACAGCGGCACGTGCTGCCTCGGCGGATCCGTGGCACGCGCTGCCCCACGACCGAAGCTGGCCCGCCACGTTTCTTGTTCCCCTGGTCAGGGGCGCCCGGGAGCAGAATGCCGGCACGTCTTCTTCTTAGGCGAATCGCCTGGCCCGCCTTTCCGACCGTCCTCGGGTTGCGACAGGGAGGAGTTATTTTGAAGGTAAGAGGGATGGAGGAGGCGGAGGAGGAGGAGGAGGAGGAGGAGGAGCAGGAGGAGGCGGAGCAGGAGGAGGAGGAGGAGCAGGAGGAGGAGGAGGAGCAGGAGGAGGAGGAGGAAGAGGAGGAGGAGGAGGAGAAGGAGCAGCAGGGCAGGGACTGCGGTCTTCTCGTGGCTTCCTGCCGAGCCGCTATCTCTGGATGTCCCCTGGGCGGGCCCCAGAGCGGCCCCCGAACGCAGCTGTCGTCGAGCCGCTAAATTCTTCTTCCGCCCGCCGCTCCCCCGCAGTTCGACATGTGGACGAAGCTGCTCGACGTGCTGGAGGACCACCTCGACGACGCCAACGGCGCCGACGCCGATACCGATCCCGACGACGACGACGACGACGAAGAAGACGAAGACCAAAACGACGACGAAGGCAGAGTCGACTGCGACCCGGACGACTCCGACCGCCACGACGACGACGACGACGACGTCTACCACCCAGACCCCCGACGCCGTGATTCTCTCGCAGGCCTCCCAGAGGTCTGGACCTCTGCCCCGGGACCCGCTGTCCACCCCGAGTCGTGTCTGCTTGACGGCTCTGGGGCCCCGCGAGGGCACCGCGAGGCCGACCACGATCCCAAAGGCATCGGTCTCGGTGCTTGGCCTCCACGCGCGGGAGGCCCAGGGGTCCTCGCGCGGCGGGCCCCGCCCAGCGGTCCGACTGGGCATCGAGAAGGGCCTCTCCTCCTCCTCCTCCTCCTCCTCCTCCTCCTCCTCCTCCTCCTCCTCCTCCTCTCGCAGGAGTGACCCTCTGATGCGGGGCCACCCTCGGACGGGGCAGCAGAACGGGGACGAGTCCGTCCCAGAGCCTGCCAGAGCGCTCCCAGAGCGTTCCCGAGCTCTCCGAGAAGGCCGCGGCGCCCGAGACGTCCTCCAGAGCCGCCAGGTCTCAGGGGATTCTCGACGCATCCCTGCCCGATTCTATCCGCGTCCTGGCTTCGTGAAACCAAAAGGGTCCCCCCATCGCTGGACGCGAATCGGTAGCACCGGCTTGCGCGCCCGGTTTTGGCCACCCCGCGTCTCCCCTGAAGCCGCGCACCACAGGTCGCTCTTGCCTGGGGTCACTCTTGCGTGTAGCTGACAGGGTGCGCTTGGACCATGTTTTCGGGGCGGGCTCGGTCGTGGCGGCGAGGGAAGCGCGGCGGTGTCAGTACCTTTCCCTCCTCCGACTCGGGGGCGGGCCTCCTGTCGTGGTATGTTGCAAGACGCGAAGACGGGCGCCAAGGCCAACACGAGGGCGCGAAGGTCCTCGCGGTTCGGGATTCGCGACTCCTCATCCTCATCCTCCTCGTCACTCTTTTCTCTCCCCAGGGGGCGGCGCGAGAGCGCGAGGTTTTTCGCGCTTCGCGAAGCGCGGAGCGCGAACATAGCATTCCTGGGGTCTGGGCACGGCGACGGCGACGGCGACGTGCTGGAGGACGACCCCCATGACCACGACAACGACGACGTCGACTACAACCCATGCCCCTGACGACAACGACGCCGACGCCGACGCCGACGCCGACGCCGACGCCGACGACGACGACGACGACGACGACGGCGGCGGCGACGGCGGCGGCGGCGGCGGCGACAGTTGTGCTGGAGGACTACCTTGACGAGCGTCGCGCGGGGCGGCCCGGGCGGAAGCAGCGGGTCGACGAGCAGCACCGCTCCCAGCGTCCCGCCCTCCGTGAGGCGCTCCGTGCTCGTCGTCGTCGTCGTCGTCGTCGTCGTCGTCCTCGTTGTCGTCGTCGTCGTCGTCGTCGTCGTCGTCGTCGTCGTCGTCGTCGTCGTCGTCGTGGTAGCTCGTCGTCGTCGTCTGCGTCGTCGTCGTCGTCGTCGTCTGCGCCGTCGTCGTCGTCTCCGAGGATCGAACAGTCCCAGATGTGCTGGCGTCGTTAAAAAGTCACGACGGACGCTTTTTGGCAGACCGTTTTGGGGCTCTAGGGGCCCTCGCCGGGACCTAGCACAGTGAAAAATGACTCGGGATGAAAAACTGACCCCAGGGAAAGGGGGGATTTCTGGGGACACCGTGTTGAAATCAACCCAGCGTGAGCCCAATCCGGATGAGGAGGAGGAGGAGAAGGAGAAGGAGCAGCAGCAGCAGCGGAGGCAGCACGAGCAGGAGGATGAGGAGGAGAGGGACCATCTGGAGGAGCACTGTCTTTGCCTCCCGCTGCCACCGCTGCCTGCCTTACCTGGGGGGGGCATGCCGGGGCGCCTCGTCGCCGCCGTCGCCGCCGTAAGCCAACGAGGCGCTGAGCGCTGTGTGGTCGTCGGCCTCCTCGCTGCACTCGCGCTCCTCCTTGTCCCCTCTCAGGCTCCCCTCGGGCCTCCAGTCCTACAGCGGATGGAATGCGACAGGTCCGGAGTGCTTTCCCCGTTCTCGGCCCCTGCTGCGCCCTCGCGGGGTCTCGGGATCGTCAACAGCACTACCCCGTATTAGAAAAGTCGGCCCTGCTTGATTAGCTTGGTCGGGGATGGAGCACCAGAAATTCTAGACGCTTCGCATAACCCCACCAGCTTAGTTTATTTTGTTCTGTGCATGTGCAACTGCGCACTTGCTGTGCAGGTGCGAACTGGCTTGCCAACGTGGCGGCTGTGTTCGCAAATTCGCCCCGTGCCGCATCCCGGACGCCGCCTCCGCTCCTTGACCGTTGCCTTGGAGCCGCCGACCAAAAAATAACCCCACCAGCGGTTCTGCTGATGCCTGCGCGCGCGCGCTAGGCAATTAGTTCTGCTCGTAGCCCGAGCCGACTTGTGACGCCGCTGGCGCCTTCGCCTGCGGCTGCGACAAAAAACACCCACCAGCCCATTCAGAAACGATGCCCAGAGGAGTTGCCTCGATCAGGGAAATGGGCAGCACGCAGAGGAAAGGTCCCCCAGTGGAGGCCTCTTGGAGCGTCTTCTCTTGGCGGTGTCGGAGGCCTCTTGGAGCGTCTTGGGTGCCTCGCAGAGCTTCTTGGGGCCTCTTAGGGATCTCTTGGGAGCCTCTTGGAGGCCTCGTGGGCGCCTCTTGGGGCCTCCTGGGGCCTCATGGGCGCCTCTTGGGGTCCTCTTGAAGCGCTCTTGGGAGCCTTTGGAGCGCTCTTGGGGCCATATTGGAGGACCTCGTTCAAACAAGAGGGGAGCTTTAATTTGGGTTGCCCCCCCAAGAGGCCCAAATGGGGCCAAAACCTTAGTAAAATTATCCCAGTGCGACCCTACCTAGGAGTTGGAACCCCTAGGAAAGCAGCATTAGTAGTAACAGTAACGCTAAGCTAAAACTAAGCTTAAGCTAAGCTAAAACTAAACTAAAGCTAAGCCACAGCTAAGCTAACGTTAAGCTAAATCTAAGCTAAAAGCTAAGCTAAAGCTAAGCTAAAGCTAAGCTAAAGCTAAGCTAAAGCTAAGCTAAAGCTGAGCAGCAGCTAAGCTAAAGCTAAGCTACAGCTAGGCTAAAGCTAAGCTAAAGCTAAGCAGAAGCTAAGCTAAAACTGAGCTAAAGCTAAGCTAAAGTTAAGCTACAGCTAAGCTCACGCTAAGCTAAAGCTAAGCTAAAGCTAAGCTAAACGCTAAGCGAAACGCTAAGCGAAACGCTAAGCTAAAGCTAAGCTGCAGCTAAGCTAAAGCTAAGCTAAAGCTAAAGCTAAAGCTAAAGCTCCCAGGGGACTTGGGGGAACCGCTCCCAGGGGACTGGGGGAACCGCCCGGGGCGTGTTACACTGCCCGGCCCCTTTAAGCTAAGAGAGTAAGAACCCTTCTAGGCAGAGCCTAGGTAGGGAACCAGTGATTTTGGCTTCCTGGCCGAGGCCGTTTTGGATGTCCTGACACCTCGCGACCGGCCCCGTCCAGGTCCAGGGGAGGGGGTAGCGGGAGGGGTCAAGCTACCCACCCGCCCGCAAGCCGTCTAGCTCACTCCCACCCGCCCTGCCAACACATACGTAACACCCGAGCCTGAGCATGTTCAGCGGTCGTCTTTGGATGGGCAGCGCTACTGGGAACCAAAGCGACCCCAGGTGCGCGACGCTTGGGCGAGGTGCGCCACGCGTGCCAGGGGCGCCACGCGCGCTAGGCACCCCTAGGGCTGGCCCGAGCGTGCCAGGCACGCCTGGTGCGCCAGATGCGCCACGTGCTCCGAGTGCGCCAGGTGTGCCACACACTCCAGCCGCGCCAGGTGCACCACGTTCGGGGCACGTGCAGAGTGCGTCAGGTGCGCCTGCGCACGTGACAGCACACATCGGGAAACATGTCGGCCCCCGCCACGTCGACAACCCCTCCCCGAAGGGGCAGAGGTGCAGATGGAAGACAAAACGCCCTAAACCACCTACGCCCTAAAGGGCTGGTAGGATTAGCAGGAGGAGGGCCAGGAGCAGAAAACACGTGGCAGAACCAGACGGGCAGATCGGGCGGGTAGACTTTGACGGGCGGGTCGGGTAGGCGGGCCCAGGCGGCCAGGTCGAGCAGGCGGGCTGCTGAAGCGTGCGTCCTGCATGACTCGCGAGGAAGGCTCCAGCGATAGCGCGACTCCGGCCGAGGTACGACAAGATGATCGAGTGCATCGAGTTCTCGAGGCGGGCGCGCCGAGCCCGCTCGGGGGGGGGGAGCATCTCTCTCCTGCTCCTCCATCTCCTCCTCCTCCTCCTCCTCCTTCGCCTCCTCCTCCTCCTCCTCCTCCTCCTCCTCCTCCTCCCCTCCTGGTGTTCCGTTTCCCGATGGTTCGGCGTCCAGGGCTCGCTCGAGCCCGTATCTTTACACATGTTTCATGTCTAATTCCCCATATCCTAAGATGGTGTTCTTGTTCCCCATATCCAAAGATGGGGTTCTTGTTATTGGCGGACCGCGCCGGAAGGACACAGAACAGGACAGAACACCACACCCATCACTCAGACACACACGTAAGTTATTCCCCATATCCTAAGATGGGGTTCTTGATTCCCCATATCCAAAGATGGGGTTTTTGATTCCCCACTCACTCATCACTCAGACTCACTCATCAAGACTCACTCATCACTCAGACTCAGTCCTCACTCAGACACACCACTCATCACTCAGACTCACCACTCAGATTCACTCATCACTCAGACTCACTCATGCTCTCTCATCACTCAGACTCAGTCATCACTCAGACTCAGGCGATTCGCTCGTCTCAGCAATCTAAGGGGGGCGGCGGGGGGGTATTTCACGGGGTCCCGTTCGCGGAATTTTGTGGGGATGTCTCAGGCGGTTTGGCCATTTTCTGATCCAACATGTTTCGTTTTCGGAGCAGATTTGGAGGATGTCTCAGGCGATTCGCTCGTCTCAGCACTCTAAGGGGGGCGGCGGGGGGGTATTTCACGGGGTCCCGTTCGCGGATTTTTGTGGGGATGTCTCGAGCGGTTTGCCTGTTTTCTGTCCCAACATCCTTCGCTGTCGGAGCAGATTTGGAGGATGTCTCGAGCGAGGCGCTCATTTTCACGTTCCTAAGGGGAGCGGCGGGGGGGTGTTGCACTCGGCCCCTTTCGCGGGATTTTGTGGGGATGTCTCGAGCGGTTTGCCTGTTCTCTATCCCAACATCCTTCGCTGTCGGAGCAGATTTGGAGGATGTCTCGAGCGAGGCGCTCATTTTCACGTTCCTAAGGGGAGCGGCGGGGGGGTATTGCACTCGGCCCCTTTCGCGGGATTTTGTGGGGATGTCTCGAGCGGTTTGCCTGTTTTCTGTGCCAGCATCCTTCGCTTTCGGAGCAGATTTGGAGGATGTCTCGAGCGAGGCGCTCATTTTCACCCCCCAGGTGGGCCAGATTTTGAGGATGTCTCGATCGGTTTGCTTGTTTTGGTGGCCAGGCTCGTGGGCGCAGATTCTTCTCAGGATGCCACAGGAGGCTCCAACAGGCTCCAGGAGGCCCCAGGAGACCACATGAGGTCCCAGGAGGCATCAGGAGGCCACAGAAAGATTCAAGAGGCCACAGGATGTCCCAAGAGGCTCCAGGAGGCCCCAGGAAACTCCAGAAGGCCTCAGGAAACCACAGGAGGCCCCAGGAGGCAACAGGAAGCGCCAGGAGGCCTCGGAAGGCAACAGGAGGCCCCGAGAGGCCCCAGGAGCAGGAGGCCCCAGAAGGCAACAGGAGTGGCTCCAATCCCATGTGTTTTACGTATGCTCCTATCAAGTGGGCCTCACCTGGAGCACGATTCTTTGGTGTTATACGTATGTTTCTATATATTGTCCTTCTCCTGTGTGCACGATCCTACATGTTTTATTTATGTTCCGATACATTGGGCCTCTCCTGGGGCACGAGTCCTTGGTGTTTTACGCGTGTTCCTATAGAGTGCCCTTCTCCTGTGGCTCTAATCCGCCCGTAGCCATTTTGGCTCAAGGCTCAATGCTTGGGGGGCTGCAAGCCTCCTGGCAACCACGGGATAGCTCTGTTTCCCGAGCTCGACTTTCATCGGCGCGCGCGGCTCCCCTCGTTTTGGCACTTATAACACTGAGTGTGTCTCGGCCATGGCACCTCAGTGGCAGTGCGTCTGTGGAGAGTACCACGCGGCCGACCGCACTCGTTGCACGAAGGCGGGGTGCGGAGGCATGCGACCTCGTTTTCCACGCGGAGCTGGGCAGCCCTGGCACCAACCGTGGCAGCTTCGTCAGCCTCCCACCCGCGGCAAGTGGGCCGACTCGCCGCCGAGCAACCAGTGGGGCCACAACGGCAAGCTCTTCAAGGGCAAGAGTGCAGGTGGCGACAAGGGCTCCACGGGCACCACCCTCAGCGCGGAGGAGGTCAAGGTCTGGGCCACGTTCACGCAGGAGACATGGGATGCGACGACGCACACCCTCACGCAGTCCTCTCGTGGGAAGGTGGATGCTGCTCGCCGTGCTCATTCTCTCGGTCTGGTTGGGAAGTCGGCGCCCCAGAAGGTGGACGGACTTGCTCGCCAGCTCGCAGATGCTCAGGATCGGCTTAAGCGTGAGTCTGAGGTGGCTCGCAAGGCGCTGGAGCAGGTGCACACGACAAAGGAGGCCATCGCGCAGCTGCAGCAGGAGCTCGCGGAGGCCAAGCGTGAGGCAGCCGCGCTCTATGGTGGAGGCATCAGCCCTGACGCGAACAAAGAGAAGCTCGGCTCGCTCAACACCGACGGCGTCTCTGGCCAGGTCCTCCTCGAGCAGCTGTCCAAGATGGTCAACGAGCTCGCCGAGGAAGCGAAGGCAGCTCGCCCGCAGGGCGGGGCTCCCGCTGCAGCAGGCGGCGCCGCGCCCGTCCCCGAGTCAGCTGCAGCTCAGCCTGGCGGAGGTGAGGCCGCAGCGGCGCCCGCAGCAGGGGCGGCGCCTGGCGAGGGCGGTGCGGACTTCGACGACTTCCTGGGCGAAGACGATCCTGGTGGGCTTCTTGGCAGCCGTGGCGATGATGACGAGCAGCGTAAGAGGAGCCGCGGTGCCCTGGAGGTCCTGCGGTCCGTCAAGAAGCCGCGAACCTCAGGGTAGCCGCCCTCGCGGGCGCTGGTGGACAGCTCTCTCCATCAACGCCAACGCGTACAGCAGGTTCGAGAGCATTCTTGGCTACGAGAGTCTCAGGAGCTGCGACCTCGTCGCGGTCCAGGAGACGCACCTGTCCAGGAGAGGTGCTGCGAGGTCACCGACAAGCTGCAGAGGCTGGGCTGGCATGCGGTGGCCACTCCAGCTACCGACGTTTCTGTTGGACACGCAGGGCACGGTGGCCTCTTGCAGCTGGCGCCCAGGTCCTCGGGCCTTGGCGAGTTCGAGGCTGGGCAGCCGACGGTGCTCACGCCAGGTCGCGCGGCAGTCGCGCATGTGGCAGGCCCCTTCCCTGGGGGACTGGCTGGGATCAACGTCTACTTGAAGGTTGGCGAAGGCCTCTCGGCCTAAAACCTCGGCATTCTGGACGGCATCGCGATGGCGATTCGCGCCATCGGCAAACCCTTCGTGATCGCGGGAGACTTCAACATGGAGCCCCACGAGTTGCAGTGCTCTGGCTTCCTCGAGCGCGTCGGAGGCAGAGTGGTCTCGCCAGCGGACGGCGCCATTCGGCCGTCGGGCAAGGTGATTGACTATTTCGTCATCTCTCACGTGATCTCGGAAGCACATGCGGAGATCAAGCTTGGGTGGGATATCTCTCCCCACCTCCCTGTCGAGCTCAGGTTCAACGCCAGCTCGGTCAACAGGTACATGCAGGTCATGAAGGTTCCCAGGAAGCTCCCGTACCCTCTACCCAAGGCGTGCTGCACCGAGGACCACTCCCAGAGGTGGGCGGAGGCGCGCGGCCGCATGGCGGCTACCTCTTCGCTGGGCGGCATGTGGCAGATCTTCATCCACAGCGCTGAGCGAGCGGTACTTGCTGGACGCCATCGGCCCCAAGCACGCGTATCACGAATTTGCTGGACGTGAGCGGCGCCCTTGGCTGGCAGTTGTCAAGGTGCTGAAGCCGACGGCGCCCGGGCTGCCGAGGGTGGCCGTCGCCACTTCCTGGTGCAAGAGCGTAGCCATCGCGCTCAAGGACGCTGCTCAGACCAACTTCGAGCTGAAGAGGTTTACGGCGCTGAAGTCGCTCGATCGTTTGTGCGGCGCTCAGCCCGATTTTCAGACCGACTCCAGGCAGGAGACTGCGCAGGCTCACATCACCTTGCTGGGCTTCGCGCAGGCGGCGCAGTCCATGGATCTGCCCCAGCTGCAGGTTGCGAGCTTCATCGCCGCCACCATGGCAGACAAGCTGGTGCAGCGGGACGCAGACAAGGCGAAGGCTGGCTTCGCAGGCTGGGTCGCCGAGAACCATGCTAGAGGTACGGGGGCCCTCCACTCCTGGACCAAACCTCAGCAGGGCTGGCAAGCGAGACTCTCTGGTGCCCCAGGGAGCGAGCCTCGAACGCTCTCTCAGACGGTCCAAGCCCTGGTGAAGGAGTGGTCAGGATATTGGGGAGTAGGGGCCCCCACGCTGCTGGGGGGCGAGCTCGCAGTGGAGCCGCTCGAGTGGCCAGATGATCTTGGTGAGCGCCCTGCCCGACCGTCGGTGAGCGAGATCAGGGCGGTCATCGCCGCCTTCAGGGACTCCAGCGGCTCGTCTTTCGACGCGCTGCGTCCGCACGAGCTGGGCGTGCTCGACGACGCTGGGATCGAGGCGCTCATCGACTTGCTGGTCGCCATCGAGCTGCAGTGCGACTGGCCCTCTTTCATCACCAAGCTGGCCTTCATCCCCAAGTCGGACGGGGGCCTCCGCCCAATCGCGCTGCTGGGCGCGGTGGTCCGCATCCACGGCAGGCTCCGCAGGGGCATCGCGAAGGCTTGGGAGGCGTCGCACGACAGGGACTACTGGTGGGCCAGCTCGGGCAAGAGCTGCGACAGGGCTGTGTGGCAGCAGCAGGCTCGAGCAGAATGGGTCCAGATGGTGGGCGAGCTGAACAGGGGTCAGGACTGGGCCTCGGCGTCGATCATGATGGACTTGTGGAAGGCCTTCGAGCAGATCCTGCACGGCAACCTGCTGCAGGCGTGTGTGCAGCACAAATTCCCGCTGTGGCTGGCCAAGCTGCAGATTTCTCTCTACCGTCTCCCCAGGGTCATCAGCCTGGAGACGTGCTGCTCTGACGAGCT